AGCCATCTCTCAGTCTCCTGTACTACATGCATGAGTCCATGCATGTTTTTGTGCATTCATTGTCATTAAAGTGACATAAACTGTTATAATACGTTTATTTAACCAGGAAATGCCTCACTGAGGTTAAACAGCTTTTACAGGAACAGTGGCAGATAGAAAATAACATGTTACAAATCATATAAGTAATTCAGAGTTAAAATGTAAATAATCAAGTCTAAAGTGTTGTATAAAATGGTATCTGAGATGTAATATTGAAAAAGTAGAAAGAAACAGGTAAAAATGCCCAAAATATAAAGTGTAATAATAAAAGCAGTTTAACCTTTTGAAAGGGATAAATGCATCAAAAGAATCACAGTTCTGCGGGTTACCAGTGAGGTATCTTAACAGATAAATGAAATACAACGGTCTATAAACACTGACAGCTAGATTAGCTTCCCTTCAAATGACAAATACCTTTAAAGGAGTTTATTGTGTCAGCTTCTTGAAGTTTTGTGTGTGACTGAAGCACCTTCCAGTCAAAGGGAAGAGAGTACATGAAGGTTTGTTTGTTCAGTGAGGAATTTAAGAATCAAAACCAAATATAGGGACTAAAAGGTAGTTTCCAGCCTAATATGGGCATGAAAGTATAGGAGGAAAGCAAAAAATGGCCTGTGGATTATAGGGGCATTTCTAACAAAACGAGCATTCCTGTAAGTAGTGAGCCTGAGCAGAATTTCCCCTAAAACTCCAGCAGAGGGGACTCTGTCCTGCTGTCTTTAAATTCTAGCAGCTTCCTCATTTCATAGTCAGCATAATGATGTACTTTCCACAGAAGAAAAGGGAAGCTCTGCAAGTGGGGGGGGGTTGTCTTCAAACTACTACCACACAGTGAAATCCACCAAGTTTTTTTGGCTTTTTGCTTGCTTCCCCTGTTTCTGCTTTCTCATTTAACAGAGTGGCCCTGAATTCACTGAAAGTCTGGCCATTGCTGTCTTGGTGGTGCTTCACTTTGCCTAACTCCAGCTAATCCAGAAATAGTCAAAAAGTGGAGCATGAGCAGAGCTTGTCAGATAGGCAGCGACTAGACACCTGTGACTCAGAGTGACCGCAAAAACTTAATGGAAAGGGAAATTAGCTACAGAGACCAACAGTGATTTTTATACCAGGCTGTAACCATGTTTATTTTTGCTCTAAAGTTGGGCATTTTAACATGGAAGTCTATGGGAAGTGACTCCCTTTTGGAGCCAGCCTCAAGTGTCCATTCAAGGAACGGCAGGTTTTGACACTTCTGTATTAGCTTCATACCTCAGCCTCGGAGGTTGCCGCTTGGAGAAAACTCATGCCACGCTACATATAAAGCTTCTGCCAGCAGCTAGCTTAACATAGCACAAACATTGTAAACGCCTGCTTTCCTGGCTCTGTCCACAGGCAACAAAATGTGCCTACTAGCATAGCTAAATGGTGATTTATGATAAATGATATCATTTATGGCTAATGATAAATGGCTTGAATAAAGTCAAGCTGGCTCTTTCCCACTGTTTCGGGTCCCTGTGCTAGGCTAAGATAGCCAGCTGTTGATGGCCGCTTTAAAGACAGAAGAGCTGAATCAACTTTCTTCTCTAATTTTTGTCAAGAAAGTAAAGTGTTGAACATTTCTTTTAAATTTGGCCGAATATGGAAGTAGAGGCACAGTCTTTTGGATGGAGTGAATTAAGTGAAGCAGGAAAGGAAAGGAGTTTCTCTCTTCCCTTTTCCTTCCCTTCATTTTCTCTGTCTACATTGACCTCTAAACTGTCCTGAGCACAGTATCCCTTATCTGAGCTCTCCTATTTCCTTGACACATCCCTACTGTCAGTGAGGTACTGCAGCCCATCCCTCTTTCTCTCTGCCAACCTGTCTCTGTCTCTCACACACACACACACTTATGTCTGTTGTCATCTCTTAAAGCAGTGATCTCTAAACTGCCATCAGCAAAAAAAAAATTTGTCATGTAAACTTTCCTTTTTGCTGGACATCTCTCTCCTGTCAGTAAGCGCTGTCCTGTCTCCCTTTACTTTCTCCTCCTCGTCCCTGCTTCAGTAATCACAACCACTATTTTCATTAATGTCTTTGGTGTCGAAGCTGAGATTTACAGCTAATTCATAACTAAAAATCCTTATTACATAGACTTCTACCCAGCAACCCTTTGGAAGCAGAGCACTCTCATTTTGACAATAGTCATCAAGCTTGTTGTCATGGTTACGGTACTGATGCTGAGTGTGACAGATAGAGCGGTGTCCCTCTCCATGCAGTATACAGACAGAAGTGCTAATATCAGCAGACAGAAAAACAGCCAGGCTTAGCTCAGCTTATTCTCACTGCAGCAGAAAAACAGAAAGAAAATATTCATGTTTATTTATTAGTGAACAAAAGGATGTCTAAATGGTTTTATGCTTTCATCCAATCCTGCAGTTTGCATGTAGCCTTCAGTGTATTATTTAAGAAGCTTTCCTGCTTGGTGACCAGAAAAGGGATGTGATTCAGTTTCTTCAAACTAAAGTTCTCTCTTTTCCCATGTGATTTTAAAATCTCTCTTTTCTCTAGCATGGATCATCTCACCAAATGAAGAGAAGTGAGATGTGAAGCTATGTTTTTCAAAGCCTCTGGCTACAAAAGCAAAAATAACAATGGGGAAGTACCCAAATCTAACCTTTTCTAGCTGAATAGTGGGAGTTGACCATACTGTTACTAATGTCGGCCGTGACTGTTAAAGTGTGCCCATCCACTCTTACAATACATTATGCCTGTATTAGATTATGTATTTTTTTCTGCTACTCCCATCGCTGGACCATGTACAGGATGTCCATTATAAATTGTGTAATGTGTCAGGACCAGAAAATATCATATTTATTTTATGGTAATTGTACTAAGCTGCATATTTGCTGTTATCTGATGGGTAAATGAGATATAAAGACGGTGATCTCACTGGTAGTACATTGCTGGGCTATTTTTCCATATTGAATGAATAAGTGGATAATTTTCAAATTAAATCACTGTATACACAAACATGTTTTGGAATATTCAGTGCAGTGTAATAATGGTAGGTGTGAGTCTGGCAATAGCCACTAGATGGAGCTGGTTTCTGTATAAGGGGAGTGTTTGTATGACTGCACGTTTGATTACAACTTCATTTCTAAATCACACATGTACAGGTGACTAATCAGCATTGTACTCTGTGACAGGATGAATCACAGAGTGCTGTTCACAGTATTAGATCAATGTTTGATGGTGTTTCATTCACAGCTGCTCACCGATTTTGCTGTGTCCTACTCTATGTGCTCCTGTCTCTGACTGGTGTGTTTTTGTATCTCTCAGACTGCAGCTACACCTGTCACCTGGAGTGTGAGACTCAGGTCCAGCTGGACTGCAACCAGAGGGACAGGAAGCAGGAAGAACCACCATCTCCCAGAAACCACTGCTCTCCCACGGCCACTCAGCTCAAGGTAAGCATTTCAAAGACAAATAGCTCAGCTGGTTTTTTTTAGTCTGTGAATGCTCTCAGGATGGAATCTGCTTTGTCACACCAACATCTGATCTCCTGGTTTTTCTCATCCTCCTGTCTCGGGTCCCTCTGTTATTTCTCCCCAGCTGTATAAGCCACAGGATAACCAGTGATACAGTAATAGCACTTCATCCACTCTTTGTAAGCACATGTGTGTGTACAGGAACCTGAGAGAGGGTGAGCCTGCACGCTGCTCCTGGCATTCCCAGCCTCAGTCACCCATGCAGTTTGGTACACATACACATACAGATACTCGACATGCATGAGAAAAAGCTGGATAACCCCCCAGGCCTGCAGCAGAATGTTGGCAGCACAGCGGGCAGATAACACAAAATTAGAACCCTACTAAGCGTGCCAGGTGCATTTCTACAGAGCATGAACAAACACACAGTTACTGTATGATGCTGATGGGGATGGCGAGAATTAGAGCGAGCAAGGTGGGAGATAAATAGACTCAATCTGACCAAACATCTGTCTGTTTATCAAAAAACTGTTTGCCTCTTTGTTGCCAGTCAGGAGTGGCTCCGGCTAAAGTTCAGACCAAAAACACGCCCAATTCTTTCAATGTACCAGCTCTACTGGAACAAAATAATGGCATATCATTTTTTAGAGTCATTTTTATCTTAACCACTGCTACTCTCAGTAAGCTTAATGACTGTGGAGTTGAAGGTAATGAGCTGCAAGTCAGAATTAAGTGAGCGTTCGTAATGTCTGTCTTGGAGGTATGTGAGCTCTCTGTCACACACTCACACCCCCATTTGTTTTATGGAGCACACTAGAATGACAGACGAGAGGAGAGATGACAGTTCATTTCCTGCAGTCTCCTTTCTCCTCTGCTCTGTGTTATAGCTGCAGCTGTGCATGTAAGGGGATGTGTTCTTTGTTCTCTATCTTTACATCTATCTTTACAGGTTCTTACTATGTGCCTCAGCATAAATCGATCCCATTTTCCCCCAGTTACAGCTTCAATAACACATACATGCAGCAGCCTGAACAGACTTCATCGACTTGAAGCCAGCAGAAGTGTCGTTCTGAATGCATGTGTGTATGTTTGTGTGTAGCGTCTTACCCCCTGCACGCTGCCTTCCCCCCTAGTGATCGCACTGATGGAAGCAAGTAGCAGAGCTGCAGGTGATCAGTCATCAACTGACTCAAACCTGACAGAGAAACACCCGATCAAAGGCTGCCATGCTCTCCCTACATGCTGCGTCTCTCCTCTAGCACATAGGCTTACCTATCATCAGGTCTGAGTAGAATTAAAATCATATTAAACACAGGTGCTTATGCACCATTGATCTCAGCAGTGACGGGGGCATTAGCTGCTTTCTGACGAGGGGGTTGCTGCCAAAGTCAGAGGGCAGATTGTAGGATCAGTGTAGGGTTAGAGGTCGCTCTAAATTTCTTTTCTGAGGACGATCATTCATTATTTTCTTAATGTCACCGTGACCCCACCCCTCCACCACCAGCAGCAGTAGTACAGCTGTGAAGTCTGTATTATAATACAGACTCTCTCCTGTATCAACAAATAAGTCCCAGTTGTAGCACAATCTAAAACCCTACATTTACAGTGGTTGTAATGGTTTCAACCATTGTATGTTGCTGTATAACGTCATTTATCAAAGCAGCCATCTTCTCCATCGTCTGAGCTGCTTCCTGCCACTGCTGCTCTTACGTATGTAAAACAGGAGCTGTGAGGTTTCATGTCAGTCACTCATCTGCATTTCTCTTTCTACTTACCCATACCTCCCTCTCTCTCTCTCTCTCTCTCTCCACCTCTCTCTCTCTCTCGCTCTCTCTCTCTTTCGTAAGAGGAAATGTCCATGCTCTACAGGGTGCAGTCACTTGCAGGAAAAAGAGAGTGCAAGGCAAAGTGGGAGGATGCTTACACACGGGTAGCACACTCAACCACAGACGGTTGAGCAAGGCTGTAAGAGAGTGAGGGAGCAAAGCGAGTGCAAAGACAGACAGAGAGGGAGGGAGGGAGAGAGTAAGAAAGAGAGAGGCTGAGTCTGAAGCGTCTGTCAAAGAGAGGAGGTCATTCAGGGTCTGCGAGCGTCTTGTTGCTGCAGCCAGGAGATCTTCTGCTGTTGTTTACTCAGGTCTCAAGGGATGGATGGACGCTCACACACATAAATGCCAGCCTAACTGAGCTGTCGCTGCAACCAGGATTTGAATCAAACCATCAGCACTGCAGTTTGTGTCGCGCGGTTGGACTTCACAGCAACACAGAGGAGGCTGAAAGCAGGATGTGGTATTGAATGGGTTCCTTTAAGAGCGTTTGTTTGTGGGTATAACAGGTGCTCTCAGGTGAGCGAGGTTCATTTGAAACCAACCTGTAAACTGACTCCATGACACCAAAGTGTGCCTATGTGCATGTGTGAGAAGGTTGCATGCTATGGATGAGTGTGTACATGTGTGTAGATTTAACTGCAGATGACCAGGTGCATATACTCTTCGGCATCTGTGTGTTTGTGACACTGGTGTCAGAGTGTACACATCAAGAGGAAGTGACACGTCTATGCTTACTCTCAGATTTCCTGCTCCCCTCTCCGGTGACACACAAATTGCCGAATCTGAGCCGAGTTCACCTGTCTCGCCTTCTCAGGTGGGACTTAAACTCTCTGGATGCATCAGCAGAGGAGCGCTGCCTTTTTCTGGATGAGTAAAGGACATTTAGATGCGTTTAGACTCTGATTGTGGCTGAGTGTCACATCAGCCCTGCCTTTCGAGAGAAACCAGCACTTCCTCAAGCTGTCAGCCTGCCGCTCTGGTGCTGCTTTAGTGCCAGAGGCCATCTCTGGACCTCTCCATGACTGTCAACACAGTGCTGACCCCCTCCATGACCAGCAGTAACAGCATGAGCAGCGGGTACTGCAGCCTGGACGATGAGAGTGAAGACTTCACTTTCTTCACAGCCAAGACCTCGTTCTTCCGCAAACCAAGGAATGCAGTGAAGGTACAGACTCAGGATAACACTCGGACTCTGACAGATGTGATTGTAAGACAAACTTAGATGTGTCAGATCGTTGGTGTTTCAGTTGGTCTGGGAAGCAGACTGCCATTTATATCAAAAGCATGTAGCCAAAAAGCAGAAGTACTAAGAGGAAGCGGTGTGTACACATGCTTAAGTTGGCCTCTAGGTGTGAGCGTGAATGTGCATGCGACTGTGGGAGGAGGTTACTGTAACACATCTATTGTGTGACACTGACCCCCCCCCCTGTACTGTCATCAACCTTGATGCCTATTCATTTGTCATAGCCTGAGAACACAGTGTGGGCACTAAAGACTTGCTGCTGTGTTACCAACAGTCAACAGAGGTAATGTATTTCCTAGGGTTAGAGATACCGAGTTAATAATGTCAACCAACAGATTCCTACATATTCAGGCTGCTCCTCTACACTGCGTGGGAGAGGTTTCCGTAGAAACAAAGCCGATACTTTTTCACTGGAGCAAGTATGCATGTGTGTAGGGCAACTACTTAACTGCAGCCAACCATTTTCCTAGTTGCCATAGAAACTAATGGTTTTGTTACACACTTCCTGAGCTTCGGTACTGTACATTCACCTACTTCACACATAGCTGTCATATAACTACAGCGTCTACAGCACTTAAGCTGCAGGATGTTACGGGCTGCTTCCTTTGTTGTTGGGGCTTGATGTACAGTAGGTGATTGATTGATTTTTTTTATAGCAAAAGAGGGAGAGAGGTGCATGACAGAGAGAAATGAAGTGCTTTTGCTGCATAAAACGTGTACAGCCCTCTTCGTTCTGTCCTTGTCCCAGCAGTGCCTTTGGTGTCTGACTTGGAGACAGTATAATCTCTGAATAATTGACCAGCTGTGTAGTCAGCTTGTGGAGTTAGGGTTGCCGCCATGCTGAGACCACACGGCCATAGAATAATGGTGTGAAATATAATATAGCAGCACTGAACATGGGAGTAAGTGACTGAACATCCTCAGAAATGATTGAGTTGTTGAACTAAAAGTAGTCCTGCTAGTGCTTCTGAGCAAAGATGTGCCCTGTTTTTTTTCTGTGTTTGAATATGTAAAGGACATATGCAAAGAGCTGTGTGGCGTTCTGTAAATAGAGAGTTTATTTATTATTTTGTCTGTACGGCATTTAAATGTGTTGCTTCCAGGCATGCATGTATGTAGACAGACACACAGGGAGCTACCTACATTTATCAAAACAGTGGAGGTGGAGTTCGCATCCTCTCTTCTTGATGGATTATTCCCATACGTAGTGTGTGTGTGCGTGTGTAGAGCAGGTGCCATGTGCAGTTTTCTCTGGTCTGCTTTTTGATGCAGTAGAAATGAATGAGTTACACCACTGTCCACTCTAAAATGCATTTTCACACAGTTTACACATGTTGGCTACACAGTCATATATGCACAGCATATGCAAAGCAACACTGGTAACAGCACAGAGTGCCTGCTTGTTATTGAGGCAGTTTTACAACGGTTATTATAGCTCTGATGTACTGGACACTTTTGAAGTAGTGGTACTTAAATGAGTGCTTCCATTTTACATCTCTGTTCTGAGCTGTGAAAAAGAGTGTCTTCAGTCGCTTCTCATCCTCGACACTTGACTCAGTAAAGGTGTTGTGGTAACACACACTGTTGTCAGTGTGTGCGCGTTGTGTGAATGGTTATGATTGTTGAGTTCTCGGTGCATTTTTTGTGTTTTTATTACTTGAGTCTTGTTAGTTTAGTTCTGACAGAGCTCATCGTGTCCTCAGTCTTACTGCTCAATTGTAAATGATCCCAGATTCTAGTGTTTCCTGAAGATCATGATGTCAGTCACACAAACTCATATACGCACACACACACACACACACACACACACACACACACACACACACATGCATTTAAAGGTTTGACTGGCAAAGTAAAGAGTATGTTGCATGGCATGTATACAGGTGTGTGAGTGTGTGACCCTAATGCACAGTAGCACTCCTATCTTACACATTTAAGTTGCCTTACATCTATCACACTGTTAAAATGGATAGCAGGGTTTGGGTGTGTCCCTGTCACAGGTAATGTTATTGTTATCAGACACTGACAGTGGGGACACCTCTGCCAGAGGCCAGTGTGTTTTGGATAAAATTGACCTTTAGTTGTTGTCGTATGCACCTAAAAGAACATTTCATCTTTTTTTTTTGTGTTATTTATTTATTTATTGTGGTGCTCCATGCTACTGTGTATGATGAGTGAAAATGATGTAACACAACAATGAGATACTAAAGATGAATTTCAAACTGATAGAACACTGAACAACAAATCAGCAGACTCTGGAAGTTTTATTAAAGTGCCCATGGCATGCTCACTTCCAGCCATTTCATGTTTAAACTTGGGTACCTTTAGATTATCGTTGTACCCATCATAACACCAAATAGTCTGTAATTATTTCAGAACAATAAAACTAAAATAGTTTGTGAATGTGCACAACTCCTGTTGCCAGTCAAGAAGCTAGGACAACACATAAACAAGAAACATTGACAGATAAACTACATTTTCAATAGTGACAACACCTCAAATCCTACCTGACATGTTCGAGCCAGAATATGGAGGTGGACAGCACGATGAACCGCAAAAGCATAAATTAATTTGAATGTCTCTTCCATAGATAGGTAAACAACGGTTTATGTACCGATGAAAAGAGATGTGTAACACTCTAAACAAAGCGGGTAATTGAGAAACCCCATATTTTAACTGGCATAATGCAGACATAGTAACTTCTCTACCCTTACAACAATTCTCTCTAACGTTACAGAAACAGCGCATCAATAGACATGCAACATGTGTGTTTTAAACTTACCATTAAGTCCCACCGAGAAGTGGAAACATCACTCCCTTTCAAGTAGCTCCACGATCGGTAAATCCAACCGGAGATCACTGCGTCTTCCCCCACAAATCCCTTGTGTTACAGGCAACCACATACAATCCCAACAGGTAGCATAGCACCGACAATAACATCATGAATTGTTAGAATCCTCTCACCAACCTGCATCACATCACATGCGGCAGTCAAAACTAGCAGGTACTGTGCTCCAGGGGAATCCAGCTTTGATGAGCTGATCATTCACCACCGTAGGGCGCTTCACTGGCCGGTTGCTTGTAGGTTAGACCTGGTCAGGTAAAACAGTGAGTCCCTGTACAGGAACATTCCCGGACATGCAGTAACCTCAGGCCCTGTATTTTTATCCAGATCCTCCAGTCACAGTGCAGCAGCAGGAGCTAAAACATATCCACAAAACTGCGTGCAATTGAAATATCCTGCTTTTAATATGGCATTGGTGGATGTCAGGCAAGTTCACATAGTCAGGAGAATATAACCATTCATGGAAATCTGTTAACTACTATGTAAGATTTGAAAAAAGGTCTCCCTAGTGAGAGTTTGTGAGACATGTATAAACCAAGTTGCTTCTGCATAGAAGTAGAACAACATAGGTACACCTTGTCTTTTGAGCTTTAAGTCACGTTTAAGATGATAATTCATTGTAACATTGTAAATAAGAAACACAGAAAACACAGGCTCTTTAATGAAATTGGAAACTTTTGGATAGATTATCATATGCTAAACACATGATGAGAACATGGCAGGCAGATGAGGAGCATGCTGCCAGCCTCCAAGCCTGTAAAGCACCGAGAGTTTACTGAAGATGAACCATCACTCATATTGAATCAGTGACATTGGGTTAATGTGCTGGCCATGCAGTAAAAACTGTACCCTGTATACTTATACCTGCAGTACCACTCATTTTATACTAATGAATGAAAAGAGAGTATGGAAACCAACAACTGATGACAAGTTTTATGTCATAGTTTTCAGCACTTCATAACTAGCTGAACAAGGTGTTAGTCCCTCATAATTCTGGTGTTTTCCTATAACGACAGCACAGACTGCACATGCCTTTTCAGTCTTCACATCTCTCTGTTTCTGTTTCTCATGACCTTGTTCACTCAGGGCAGTGTCTGAAAACGTTGTGGAGCTCTCAGGGCTGGAAACTACACTATTGTCCCACTCTATTGTCCCTGAACTGCTCTCACTGGTATGCAGAAAGAGACGGGCAGGGCACAGCCTCCGATACATTTAGTAACTCGCTTACAAACACAGGAATTCCTGCGAGATTTGTTTTTGTTGCTGTAGACAGGGAGGGATTTTAGCTACAAGTCAACTCCTACATATTCCTCAGATTTTTTTTCACATCGCAAATTTTATTTGATTGAGTTTTATTAAACGTGTGAATTTTTATTTCAATCTTTTGTGAATTAGGTTAGTAAGCCTACTAACTGTTTCTTATTCCCAAAAATATCAGCTTTCTTCACTGCTGTGCCACTGAAGCATGGGTATTTCCCATAATGGCACAGAGGAGTAGCTGATGCTGTGTGTGAAGGAAAGATAAAGGCAGAAACAACAAGAATGAACTGCAGTGTGGCAGACAACATCAAAAGTCTCAGTGTTCTTCGCTGCTTTTATTCCCACATAGACTTATTTGTCAAACATCAGCTTTGAATTTGAAATGTTATAATGGTATCTGTTTGCTGCATATGAGTGAGTTAAGCTTCACTTGCGCTCTGTGTGTGTGCATGCACACACAGACACACACACATTTATGCACAATGCAACTGTACTGAATGAAACACTGACTTCATCATGCAACCTGAGGACTGCCCTGCAGAGACAATTCCTGCCCTGCTCTCTCTCTCACTGTCTCTCTCTCCCTCTTTCTGTCTTTCTGCCTCAGAAAATGCAAACGAACAGGAGAAGGGGGGAAAAAGCTATTGTGAGATAGAGAGGATGCGTCCCACTGTACTATAAATAACCCAGTCCATCTCTATGTTGCTAAGGCTGATTCATCAGCCGCTCTTTTATCATTCCTTACCCCTTACTTCTGTGATGCCCTCTCCTTCCCCTTTAATTGCTTCTTCCTTCAGTCTCTCTCTCTCATTACTAGTCACACAGGAAAATGGGTAACAGTGATAGGGAGGCAATCATTTTCTAGCAACGTGATCCTGAATGTGTGATTTGCTCCATTCACAACAATTCTTATCCCCTTGTGTTGCTGCAGACTTGTGTAACCATGCTGGGAAAGGAAGAAATGGTTAAATGTCAATAAGAATTTCCATCAGCTACAGCCAGGACAGCAGCTTGTCTTTCTGAGAATGGCGAGGGAGGTGGTTACTGAGTAACTGTTACTGCGAGAGAGCACAAAGTGCAGGAAGTGGCCTAGATGCTTTCTAGTCTTGTTTTTAACCAAATATGACACTTGCTATGCCTGCAGGTCAGTCACCCCACTTTTTAAAGGGGCGCATGGTGGGAGGGCTTCTCTTGATTATGATAGATTTAGATAACTATTCATAAACTTGAGCAAAAACAAGATAGATCATTTGTTTGTTTGTTTTTTATAGGAACCTGTGGTAGAACCAGCACCATCTGCTGGTTAAAATAGAACATTCATACCGTTTGTACTGGTACCTCAATACTGATATTTTCTCATTCTCTTGCTTTACAGCAGAGTGAAGCAAAGGAGGAAGAGCAGGGAGGAACAAAAGACCTGCCAGAAGAAGAAGTGCAGGCCAGGATAGAAGAGTATAACGCTCAAGTCTCTGAAAATGGCATGAAACTGGTGAGTACTGTACATAAAGTAATAACGAAACTGCATTTTTACAGTCCCCTCGCTTTCTTGATTTAATGAATCCAAACAGGAAGTTGAGTTGGGACAGAATGCAGCAAGCAGTCGTTCAAAAGTAGGATATTAGTTTAATGTCCGTGCAGATTCTCAGTCATCTAGATCATAGTAAGATGAAAAAACTGGACTAGGTTTTTAGGTTAAAAACGTTTCACCTCTCATCCGAGAGGCTTCATTAGTTCTGATTGACTGGTGTTGAGCCGGAGATATTTATCCCCCTCTGTGGTGTTTCAGTCCTTTGAAGGCCAACAATGTCCCCTAGTGACTGAATCGTTATAGCCCAGTATCGGTGAGAGTCGTTACCTGTCTTTGAATCCACCCCTGTGGACCGACAGCTATTGTCCTGGTGGGCATGTTTGGGCAGAGATCTCAAAACAGGATTGTAAATGGAAGACAAGTTGTGTCGTAGTCCACCACCCCTATTTAGTGAGGGGTGTTCTATTTTTACAAAAATAGCTTCCTTGACTCCTCTCTCAAACCAGCGATGTTCTCTGGAGAGGATCTGGACTTCACTGTCCTCAAAAGAATGTCCTTTGTCCTTCAGGTGGAGGTGGACTGCTGACTCTGGTCCACTGGGGTTGGCCCTCCTGTGTTGGGCCATGTGTTTGTGAAGCAGCTGCTTAGTTTCACCAATGTACAAGTCGTTACACTCCTGACTACACTTAATTGCATACACCACATCACTCTGTTTATGTCTGGGTGTT